CACACACACACACACACACACACACACACACAAACACAGGCTGGGGATGTAACAATGGTGGAAGGCTTGCCTAGGAAACATAAGACCCTGAGTCCCAAGTTCAACCAGGTATGGTGGTGCACACCTGTAATTCTAACTCCTCAAAACTGAAGCAAAAAGATCACAAGGTGGAGGCCACTTTGGGCAACTTAACAAGACTCTATCTCAAAATAAAAAATTAAAAACAACTAGCGATGTAGCTCAATGGTAGAGCATGCCTGGGGTCAATCCCATGTACCAAAAAAAAAAAAAAAAAAAAAGCAGGTAGAAGTTTGAAGTTCCGCACTTTTTAGGAAATTTTAAGGCTCTTTTTATATTATTTGATTCTTTAGTCATTCACCACCACCACCACTCCTGCAATCCCAGCAACTGAGAAAGCTACAGGTTTGAGGCCAGCCTCAGCACTTGGGAGACTTTATCTCAAAATAAACAAGCAAACCAAAAGGGGTGGCAGGGTGGGTGGGAATGTAGCTCAGTAGTAGAATATCTCTCGAGTATCTCTATTTTATAAAAAATAAAATAAGGCTTAGGGGCTGGGGGTGTGGCTCAGTGGTTCAAGTGCTTGCCTAGCACATTCCAGGCAAGATGTAAATTCTGAGCTGGGTGGCACATGTGGCACATGCCTGTAATCCCAGTGGTTTGGGAGGTTGAGGCAGGATTGTGAATTCAAAGCCAGCCTCAGCAACTTAGTGAGGCCCTGAGCAATTCAGTAAGACCTTGTCTCTAAATAAAATATAAAAAAGGGCTGGGGATGTGGCTCAAGCGGTAGTGCACTCTCCTGGCATGCGTGCGACCCGGGTTCGATCCTCAGCACCACATACAAACAAAGATGTTGTGTCCACCAAGAACTAAAAAATAAATATTAAAAATTCTCTCTCAAAAAAAAAGGGGCTGGGGATGTGACTCAGTGGTTAAGCGCCCCTGGATTCAATTCTTTATACAAAAAAAAAAAATGTAAATTCTGACCCCCACCCTTTTCAGAGTGGCTAGCTGTGGTACTACCATTGGGTTCAGCAATCTAAATTTGACAATAGGGAAGATCTCAAAAGAAGAATATAATTCAGGCTGCAGGGTTCATTTTAAATTTTTTTCATATAATTTATTAATATTCACAAAACAAGTTGGAGCAAAACTTATATAAGTCCTGAGTCTGTCAACAACAACAAAAAAGGGCAGGAAGTGGTGCTAGGGGTTGTGTAGTTCAGTGGTAGAATTTGTGCATAGCAAGTACAAGTATTGGAGTTCAATCCTTATCACACATATACAGGAAAGACAAGCAAGAGAGGTGGGAAATATCAATAAATCAAAACCCAACTGGATTATCTCCTAAAAATAAAAATAATAATAATTTAAAAAAAAAACCTCTCAAGGTGGAATATCTTAGTCAAAGTGTGAATCGGAGGTGTAAAGAAAAGATTTTTGTTTCTTAAATCATTTTGCTTTGGGTGAATACAATTCCAATTTCAGGGCTGGGGATGTGGCTCAGTGGCAGAGCACTTGCCGTACTTGAATAAAGTGCTAGGTTAGGTCCCCAGTGCATAAAACAAACACAATCCCACCCCCTGCCTTCCTTTCTTGATACTCAGGGGCACTTTACCACTGAGCTACATTCCCTCTTTATTTCTTGAGACAGGGTCCCACTAAATTGCTGAAGCTGGCCTCCAACTTTAAATTGTCTTGTCTCCACCTGCCAGACTGCTGGGGTTTACAGGCCAGAGTCACAACTCCAGCACAATTCCTTTCTTAAGCCTTAAGATTTTTACTTTATTTTATACTTGGGTTCTAAAACTAGGTTCAGATCCTTATCCTGACAACCCTTTCCTATGCTACATTATTACCACTTACACAGTTCTGCTTTTACCATAAAAGCTTACAACGTAACCTAAAAATCCCCAAATGATTAACAAACTGCTGAGAACTGACTCGTTGGAGATGATTTTATTAGGAATCATATGTCCAAACATCCATTCTGTGCTTCAAAATAAGTACTCTTATAATTTAATTATGACTTCACCAGACAGTAACACTGCCCACAATGATGTTTACAAAAGCACTTGTCACTCCCTTCGGATGTAGCAATGCAGAAAAAGAAGGCTGTTTCCAGACTCTTCCTGTGTTTATATTCTGTAACAAGTGACAAGAGTTTAAGTGTCTCTTAAGATTATTTAAACAGCAAAGCCCTTAAAGTTTATGTGTCCCACCGTCTTCCATCCTAAGCAAATCCTGAATTCACCTGGTTTCCTTACAGCAGCAGTTTCTACTCGGTTTCTAAGACAGGTTTCCAAGCCACCTTTTCCAAGAGACTACAGACTCTTGGAAGAGACCACAGAATTCTACTTCGGCCACTAAGATAACAGACTCCAGCATTAAGCAACTCCAGTTGAGGTTACTGCAGCACTAGAGCAGTTCGGAAGTAAATGTGCCCCCAAACGCAAACCCGCTGCCAAGAACTGGCAATTGCTAACAAGAGATGCTGCAGCAGGACTCTCCTAACAGCTACCATTCACCGAGCGATTACTGTTGGGTTATGCCTCCCCCTCGACAATCTAACAAGTCCATATTATTATTCTCAATTAGGAAATCAGGACATTTGGCCCCAGGTCCTAGGACCCGTCCGTGGCGACGCTGCGATTCTAAAACACGTCCCGTCCCGAACCCCAGAGTCCAGGATCCCCGCCCCTAAAATACACTTCTGCGCAAAAAGGCACCTGAGAGTCGGGAAGCTCCGGATGTGTCCGCAGAGACGCAAGGGACC